TATATATATATATATATATATATATATATATATATATATATATATATGGAAACAGCATGGCCTGAGAAATACCTCTTTTGCATTTTTTATCATCCTCCTGGCTGTCTCTTTGCAGCTATAAATGCACTCTCCATAACTCGGCTGAAAGTAGGCGACGGCACGTGTTACTCCACGGAAAGACCCTGCAGTAAACAATGGCCAGCCCATCTCTAAAACTGGAGGCTCAATATCAGAGACTTCGGGGAAATAAGTGACAGATGAGCAGTCCAGTGTGCCAGACTGGTCCAAATGAGAATCTTCTCCAATCAGAGAAAGTGATTTAGGCACTACAGCAGCGCGGGAAATCCGCCTGATCTCGTCGTCGGAGAGAAAGTTCGGGATTCTCTCTTTCTGCAGGAATCTCATGAAGGATTGGACTCCGCCAGCGACCAGCTCCTCCAGAGCGAGTCTGTGCCTCTCATTGTAAAGTTCTTTAAGGTTTCGATCCTGGCCTGTCCTCGGTGTCCGCCAGCCCGGCGAATCCTCAAGGCACTGGGAAAGAGCCATAACCGAAAGTTTATTAATCACACTAACGTTTCCTAAGATGAATGTTACACTCTGACACCTGTATCCTAAAGTTTCAGAGGTCTCGTCTCTCCGCCAGGCGGCCATTGGTCGGTAAGTTGTTGCCAGTCAAGTTGTTGCGTCACGTGCCCGCCAAGTAAGAACGCCATTGGACAATCTGCCCTGCGCCTATTGGCCAAGAGTTTGAATTCGGAGGCAAACAAAGGCGGCGTGTGTGATTCTCCTCTGCTCTGCAGTAGCCCCTCACTGCGGAACACAAGATCCAGGGGGCGTGGTTGGATCCACATCTAGGGGGTGGAGATTGGTAAGTTAAGGGGTGGAGATGGGTGGGTTTAGGGATCAGGGGGTGGAGACGGGTAGGTTTAGGTATATGTAAGGTGGGAGGAGTTGGATCTGGATCAATCACGCCCCCTGGATCTTGTGTTCTGCAGTGAGTACCCATTTCCTGCTCTGTGTTGTTGAATGTGAAATATTCACGGTGGTGTTGTGAAAATAAATGGCCTCATAAAATACAGGTAATAATAAACCATATAAATAATAATATAAAATCAGTTGAGATTATGGCAGCATGTCTAAGCAGCACTCATCCAAAACAACCATTCTCGCTGAATTAACTCGTAGATTGATAACCGAGCTATTCCGAAGTGTCATTCATTGCTGCATATATAGCCTATTTATAACAATATTAATGCTATTAAAACAAATGTACTACTCTTAAAGGATAATTTGTAATAGTATAAAGCTACAATGTAAAAACACTAGCTCTATTCTTCTCTGCTGTAATCAAAGAATCCATCGTATACTGTATATGTATCTTTATGTACAGGCACAAATTTTAAAGACTATTAGCATTAACATTAACATTTCTACTATTATTGCATGAAACAAAAAAATACAGTGTGTTGAACACACTACACACAAAAGGGGTTTAAAATTTTACCATTTGGGGTACAACTGCTTGTCCCTGGAGCAGTACCCTTAAAAGGACATATTTGTACCTTTTTTTTTACCCCTAATAGGTACATATTAGTACCTTACGTACTTACGTAATACGTACCCTTAAGGTACTAATATGTACCTATTAGGGGTAAAAAAGGTACAAATATGTCCAGGGACAAGCTGTTGTAACCCACAATTTTTCTGTGTGTAGGGTCATGTTGTCACACTATTTCGGGTAAGCTGTCAGCCAGCAAAATGTAAACAGCAAAACAATTCTGAAACAAAATAATTCATATAAGAGCAATAATGTAAACGATAACAAAAACATTCGAACAAATATCTGAAATTCTCTGCCTTTCAATTACATAGTTCAGTTCATTGACCATGTCTTGATTATATGGTATTGTGATTATTCAGTCCCTACAGCAAAAAATATGATAATGGCATTATAGTGGACAAAATTAATTAAAAAAATATTCTACTTGAAGTCTTTTTGAACTACGAGTTTCAAAAAAAACAAATAAAATCACTGCAAGAGAATACACACTTTTATTGGACTTTTGACCCAAAACCTTATTACTGAAATATAATCACTGTGACAACTAACCTTACTTTCCTCTATATAATATTTATAAAGCTAAGCTATATTCATCATGCATTTACACCAGAAAATGAAATATTCGTGCCGAGGCCTTAATGAAGGAAAAGCCCAAACCGCATGGCAACCGTCTCATAATGGACAGTAGGTGTTTTCGGGCTTTATCCAATCACATTCATCTGTGCCTGTACTGTCAAAAAAAGCTGCACGTCTGAAGGTGTAATTGCCACTGTGGCTTGAGGGGGGAGCCCCTGGATAGCAGGTCTTCCACCACGTCCTGAGAAAAGAAAAGTAAAGACTTTGAAACATTATACATATTTTATGTGTGCACATACAAGGACTGAGTGTCACACAACCTGTTGATAATAGACAGGCTGGTGTTTGTTGCACTCTGGTTGACTGGTTGTTAGTTCAGAGAGCACTCTCAGACTTAATTTCACCTTATATGACCCTCTCAAAAAGAAGTAGTAATCACTGTTTCTGAAAATGTTAATAGTTAAAATGCAGAACCATTTGCACACAGCTGTGCATATTAAGCATCATTAGTAATAAACTGTATAAATATTTCTGGTGATTATTACCCGAAGATAACAACAGCAATAATAACTGGTAATTGTGGCAAAATAGTCACTCTACCCTATTCTCTAATAATAATAATAATAATAATAATAATAATAATAATAATAGGTTAACATTACTACTGATAAAATATCTGTATTTAATTGTATGTTGCACAACATCAACATCATCCATTCAATTCTATTCCATTGATAATTCCAATAATAATTGCATTCTGTTGCATATCTATTTCCCCTGGCCATGGTTGTGTAGCAATGGAGATCATATTCTGTTCTATTTTATTCCAGCATTAATATGTACAGCATGCTGCACAACAATTTTTAATTTGCCATAGAGTTTGTACTCTGTTCTATTCTAGTAATGTTTATTCTGTTGCATGTTGCACATTAATTTTCCCCACACATGGCTGTGTAATAATAATATGAATTGCATATTGCGCAACAATTTCGATGTTTGGTCGTGTTGCTATAGACTAGATAATCTGTTTTATTTTATTTTATTTTATTCGATTGTAATATTGCGCGAAGTATTTCATACTCCTATTCGTGCGGATGTTCCAAACGTGTTTGTAGTATTTGTAGTATATGTAGTAGGCACATGCTCACGATCAGTATAGTAGCTTGTTTTCCCCCCCTCGTCCTTATACGACCTACAGACCGAAAGCGCTGCTCCATATTTCTGGCTATATTAGACATTTGCGCATGAGTCACTCCCTTCAGTGTGTCTGCTCAGCCCGTCCTAGAACAGAGAGGGGTAGGATCAGGATTTTGGGTTTGGGTGACGCGTTTTAATCACGTGCCCTTATTTGAGAGAGCCTGGCGTACATTTCATTCCCTTCTCGCCACTCTAGCTGCGCCCATGTCAGCCGGGCACATAATCAGTGTGCCATAAAGCAGTAGATGCTCCTTATCGCGGTGACCCGACGGGTTCACGTTAGTTCACAGGGTTCATCTGAGGAGAGGTCTCGGCCCCTCCTGTCCCCCCGAGACCCGGAGCGGAGCGAAACCTAAATGTTATTAATTTCTGTATCAATAACGGATTTCCATTCGCAGTCACCAGAGCCGACGAAAAGGTAGGGAACTTTGACTTTTCAAAGAAGCGAAAGCGATTTATTTAGGTGACGCGAACAGTCTTCAAAAGTAGTTCTAGTAGAGAGAAGCGTGCCTTATCCGCCATAAAACGTTATTAGAAGAAGAAGAAGAAGCGTGCCTTGTTATTCTACTCATATGCGGCGCGTGAAGTCGCCTCTATGTATAAAATGGCGACAGTAGATGGGAGTGCTTAGTTAAAAAATTTGGTAATAGCTAAAATATTGCGCCGCGCTACACACTCAAACTCCCGAGAAACGTCTAGCCGGATGGAGGTTACTAGTGCCTCAATACGAAGCGAAAGGGTTAACTTACCAGTTTGTTAGTTTGTTACTCAATGTTCTCGTCTGCTTCCAATTTGATCATTCGCACGCTACGGCGTTCCTGTGTGATGTTACTATAGTCTGTCCATTTCGGAGCGTCACGCGTCAGATTTCTACTTCAAACGGGGGTCAAAATGGGACCCGTGTCTCGGATTGATAGCCGGCGAGGAGCACTGAAGTACTGGCTTATAATCAATTTCCAAAAGTGATCTTTACGATGACGAACCTTTCGGGGGTGCCTGTAGTTCGAAGCTGGTGCAAATCTAGACAAGCACGCGCTATCAAATGTTAATGGGTACAGAATGTACTCAAAGTCGGATTTAACTCCAGATCATAACCCTGGCTCTGATACCACACATTATAAATCATTATTTAGAATCATGGGCTCTCAGGGGATTGCTTCTCAACTCTGCCTCAAGCCTCTCTTCAATAAACATCACTTTCTGCTAAAGTACGCCACTTTTTGAAAGTTAGCAGGCAGAATAGCATTGTAAAATGCATTAGAATTATAGGATGCATGCTTTCTGTAGGTCCTTCAGCATGCAATGTGTTTTGAGTGAACGTCTGTTCTCCAGTGGGAATAGTGTTCTGGTCTGCAGTGTTGTAATAAGGCAAGGCAATATTGCCTTTCATCCTGAATTTGAGCAATTAGAACAGTAAAGCATTTAGAACGTGACCTTCCCAAAGTATTTGTGCCTACAGACTAAAGAAAATGCCATTTGTACATACATGCACAGTTTGCCCTTTATTGTCGGGTCAAAATAGACCAGCGTGACAGCACAAAATGAAGGACTAAATGTTAAGTCGCTTGCGTGTGCACTTTATTGTATGTTGATTTCCAGTCAAAGTTGCCGGTTTATGTAATATTCCTTGAATTAAGAGAGGAGAATTGTCTGCCTAATGCCAACTGGATTTCCAAGCAGAATTATAATTATGGAGGCTCGGTGTCCTCTATCCGTGCTATAAAAGCAGTCAAAATGATTAAATTATTTAAAATGAAAAGCTCACTGTGCATGTAATGACAAAAATGCTTTTATGTGATATCTCACATTACCTTATTAAATTTGTAAATCTAAAGATTGGATGAATGTCATGGAGTAACAGACAGAAATCAGCTCCATAATAGGAGTATATCCCCAAAACCTCCCTGAAAAGCTCGTATTAACCTCAGTACTTTTTGAGGCAAACTTTTGGCTTAACGGCGGAGTGTCGGCCATACAAATGTTTCAGCTGTTCCAGCGCGGTTTTTATGGAGGAGCCTGGCATTCGCCGAGACCTGGCACTTGAGTCAGTACAATTCATGGTGCTCCGCCATCTTTCTTTTTTGTGACTGAGTGTGTCGCACCAGTGATCAAACTCAGCACATCGCATAAATGATTATTTCTCTCTTATTTGCAGGCTTACAAAGTACTTTCTTTCATGTGCGAATTTCTAAATCTTTTCCATGCTTTTAATGGGAGATTTTGTGTCGCAAGACTGGCGAAGTAATTCTGAAAACGCAAAAAGTGCCTTTTGTAAAATTCTGGGGTGCTCTGTTCATGAAAAAAAAAGAAGAAAATCTGCCATGATTACAGAGCGGAAAAAGGGACGGATCCTCATTTGTTTCCAATTTGTATATTGGCATAAACAAATAGCACAGTCAAATAAAATATTTGGAGTTTTGTCTCTTTTGGGTTGGAGGGCTACAAAAAGTGTCCCCGAAGTGTGTGTGTGTGTTTTTTTTTTTTTGGTGAAGAATAGAGGATTTAGTCCCCTCTGTGTGTTGTGGGCAAGGAAAGGGAAAGGAGAGGGGTTGCTATGGCAATGTTAACACATGAGTGGCAGCACAGACTGGCCTCCCAAGAGTCTGTGCAGCAGTCATTGAGGTAAGGGGGGCAAAGCGGGCACTTCTGATGGCACCCAGCTTTTTGTAGTACTCGCATAAGGTTCATTGACTGGGTTTAAACATCAACACGGGCAGCCCAGAAATAGCTGATGGTACAAACGCCTGTCTTGGTGGCATTTTGCTAATGAGTCACATCCTATAATGAAGGTGAACTGTAGGATGCCTCAGTGGTGCTTCGGTCTCTACATAATTAATGTGGACGTGTTTGACGCTGTCACTGATATAGCTCGCAAACTGCATCGTTCAATGATGGCATGTAGTCACATGCCCATCTTACGTACTGGCACACACATTCAGGAAATATTTCAATGGCATACAAGCATTTAGGGCACTGCATATGGCTTCCGGCTTAGTGTCATATTTCCATTGTGTAAAATGAAGAAAAATGGTCACGACAACCTCTTATGCTGACCTCTTTTTTTCTTGTACTTATAGAAATATAATTATTACAGCATGTGCGCACTGACCTTTGTTATGGATTCTTGGCGTTAAACAAAAGTCTCATTCACGCAGCACTTATGATTGATGGTCATGTTAAAATCGGCCGATATCCTTACAAGCTTATTCAGCTCAGCCTCATGTAATAAAGCAGATCCAGTCTGAGAAATAACTGAGGACGTCATGATCGTGTCTGGGAGCACTGTGTATTTTAGGTCATTTCAGTTTTTTTTTCCCTAAATAGTTTCCTCCTTTATTTAAAAGACAGCTGGAACCAGTGGAAAAAAAAATATAGCCTACACATGGACACCACATTGTATTTATCCAAAATGTATTTATAGTCTAATAAAAGGGAAGCTCACAAAAATTAAGAGAAGTCTGAGAGATTTAATCAGTACACATTACCCGCTCAAATCTTTATTTGTGCCAATTTTTTCATTGAGTTTGAAGAGTGATGTTAGGATATACACACAGCAATGACTTCACTACATATGGTGGACACTCAGATTAACAGTCAATACAAGATATTTACATAATTGTTAAAGCGGAACAGGAGGAAAAATGTGAACCGCAGATGAACTTTATCCTAAAATGCTCCTGCACTGCCTGAAGTGTAGCGTGTTGGAGGAGTGCACCAAAAAAGAAGAGGATTTAAGGACGTGGGGGAGTGTGTGTGTGTGTGTGTGGTGTGTGTGTGAGCATATGATCAAATAAAAGAGAAGTGGGTGTAATACGGCATGTAGGACTACAAACATACTCGCAGCTTCAAAAAATGTGACTGTTTATAACATTCTGTTTATTTTAGACCCCTTATCATGAAAAAAATTTCCTGAGCGCACTTTGTTGCTGCACAGAAAAACAGAGATTTTATTTCAGCGGCCTTATGAAAGAATCTCATGCTGAGAATCTATTGATATCTTTGCAGGATTATTCAGCGTGGTCCCATGTAATAAAGGACGTCCAGTCTGGGATACTTCGGCCTTTAATCAGTAATGAGAGAGGATCTTTTTATTATGTAAGGACTGTATTGTCAGCCCTTTGACCTCACACTGCATTTAATACCGTGCATCACTATCTGAAATGTTCAAGCAGAGACAGCCATATTAAATGTGTAACAGGTAACATGATGTAATATTTTAGTTTCTAACTGCTCAAATGTAGGTCAGTGTTGTTGTGCTAATTTTCAACCAAATCTACTGCATGCCTTGACTCCACAGGTTGCTGGGATAAAAAGGCCTCCAGTTTCTCCACTAAAGCTACGAAAGTGCTGAGACGCACAGTAGCAGGATAGACTGTTTTGTGTGAGACTGGTTCACCTCAGTGCTGAAACACGAGGCTTCTCTTTCCGAGTTCCCTTTTCAATAGCTAACTGTCTGGAAACCTCTTGTCCTGTGTCTAATCGCACGTCTCGGTTGCCAGATAAAGCATCCCATTCTTTGACGAGTGACCTGTTTTTTATATAACATTTTTGAACCATCTCCTGCTTGTCCGGTGCTAATCAGGCTAGTGGTTCAAAGCTTGGGTGGTGGAGTCATCTAGATATTAGTGTGTCTGTTGTGGTTAACTAACATTTTATGGTTTATATTAGAAGAATCTGGGAAGCAGATTTTTGTTACCATCTGAGACCATGGTATGTGCCCTCATTCGTTCAGACGAACTCTACAAGATTTTAACTCCACTCAAACTCTATAACTATAACAAAAATAAAACTCATGTATGTAAGATATGCTGCATACATTTTAATAACAAAGATAGCCAAAGTTTTTATACACACATTTATGAGTAATGGTAATATTATTAAACAACTTTTTGTATAGTTTCTCTTCAGAGACATCTGGTGCATTTTCAATAATCCTGATTCATGTCAGGGGTTAACATCCATTGATGAAATCTGAGTATCATGGACTCGTAAGCAGGCTCAGCATACAGTAAATGCCCACGTCTAGATGCAGGGAACCAGGATTAGAGCATAAGATGCTGGTGACCTAGTTTTATTTTTATTTATTTATTTTTTCTGGCAGGAAGGCAGCCGTCATGAGAAATAAAAGAGTCAGTTGCAAAAGAGTACGTCATGGCCATGTCTGAGAGCACTGTGTATTTTAGGCAGTGTTTTTGCTTTAGAATGGTTTTATCCCCCTTTTTTTTTTTAAGACAGCTGGCGATATTGAAAAAAAAATATATACACATGGACACCACATTGTTTTTATCCAAAATGTATTTGTAGTCTGATGAAAGAGAAGGTCAAGGAAATTCAGAGCTAAACACCAAACAGAAGTCTTGGGTGGTTTAATTAGAATCTTTTGCAGATGCATAATGCATAGAAAAACAAGTATTATATCACTAGATTTATTCACCAGCTAGTATTTAGCTTAAGTATTGAAACTGCTCAGACAAGATGAACTAATTTATGTGCTATGCTGTCAGCTTTTATGATGGAGACAACACATTCTTTCACAAATCTTTTGCTAGCGCCATTATTTTTGTATAGGTTTACACGCATTTAGTTTATTCTTATATGTTTCAGATGTATAAAGTCGTACATCTACATATGGTAGATATAAAAATCATTACAATGGTATTTATGTATTTTTAAAAACAGAACAGGCAGAAAAATGTGAACCACATATGAACTTTATCCTGAAATGCTCCCTTACTGCCTAAAGTGTAGCGTGTGGAGAAGTACAACAAAAAGAAAAAGATTTCGAAGGTGTGTGTGTGTGTGTGTGTGTGTGTGTGTGTGTGTGTGTGAGAACACATGTAGAAATAACAGAGAACTGGGTTTGATGTGCTATGTAGGAATACAAACAATCACATTTTTGGAAACAAACATTTTTGGAGTATATTTATAACAAGAAACAGAAAGCATCTTGCTATCTGTTTATTTTAGGTCCCTTATAATGAAAACAACTTACAAGCACATTTTGTTCATTTTAGCTGCTCATAAAAAATAGAGATTTTATTTCAGCGCATCAGTACCACTAATGTTTCTGCTCGTAATAGTGAACTGTGTTTAGCTCTGCTAGGAAAAGGTAAATAGAGTTTTAACTTCATGTTAGTTATTTGAATATAATAAGCATTTAACAGTGGTTGGTCAGACCATTTCAATAAGCTGTCTCACTTTTAGGACATTTTTTATCCCATGCTGACATTAATTTCTATTTTGTATCAGTGTTTTATATCAAAATGTCATGTTTTCTCTCCTTAGGTTCACAGGGAGTTGTTACTTCACTCCCTTTTACAATGGGAAGTCCCGATAGCTGAAAATTTCACCAATTTCTGGTTCATCACGGCTGGCTGATGACACCTCAACTCCATACAATTCCAGTATTCGTTTCTAACTCTTCACTCATCTGTACAATCCTACACTATGGCGAGCAAGAGGAAATCCACCGTTCCCTGTATGATTCCATCAAAAAGCAAGCACATGCGGGAGGACATCATACTAGGATGCTTACCTGAGCTCCTGCCCACAATACCCGAAGACAGCATCCTCAGTATCTCTTCAAAAGGTGAGGAAACACAACGATTCCATGATTTCTCGAAAGCCGAACCGAAGACTTCATGCTGGGAAAGAGGAACATACAGCTGCCCTCTGTGCTCCTTTGAGTCCGGAGACTTGAACCTGTTTCTTCACCATATGGACAACTGTCACATGGACTTTCATGCTCAACCAAACTTCTACTGCCTGTCTTGCAAGGTCTCAGCTGTGAAGTTTGAAGGTCTCGCTTTACATAATGCAAAATCACATCCTGAACTCCATTCAGTGCACAAGAGAGTATCCTTGCAGGTTACCAAACGAGATGGGGCTATCACAGTGGAGCAAACCCTGTTTACAGAAGCAGATTTAAGTGAATCCGGAATATCCATTACCAAGACACCCATAATGAAAATGACCAAAGGGGGGCACAAAAAAATTGTTGTCTCCCATACAGTTGAGGTACAACGGGCTGAGCCTAGCATCGACAAGCCCGCAACTGTAACCAATGGCACGCAAGGGATCAGCTGGTCTCCTGAGGAGATTGAGGACACACGTAGAAAGATGTTCAACACTGTATTCCAAGCCACATCGAAAACATCACGGAATCAGTCGCATCACCCCTTTTCCCAACACTGTGTTTCTGTCCAGTCCGCCTCTTTGATTTCTAACTCTACACAACAGATACCAAAGGGAAGTGTAATGGTTTGGAAAGGAGGGGTCATAGTCAGCCAGTCTAGTGTGACCAAGGCCACATCCCTTAAGCAGCAGCAGCAGCCAGTGGTCCAGACGCCACAGGTAAATATCCATCATGCTGTCATTACTAAGGAAACTGGAAAAGAATTATCTTGTCGGACAGCTGAGAACTGCAAAATTGCAGGCAGAGGAGGTAGCGTTAGCAATCATGGACACACTGGAAAAGGCTGCAGCTCGTCCATCAAGACTAGCGTTAGCTGCTTGCCTGGCATTCCCAAGAGTCAAAACAGCAGTTACATTGAGGGCAGCATTATGACTCTGACGAACATAGTCAGGAAAATTGACTGTCATGTCAATGACAGGAATGCAAATTGCACCAGCAAATCTAACATCAGTCCAACTTCCATTCATGGGCAACAGAAAGCATCCAGTAATGCAAAAGAAAACAGCAACAGCAGCTTTGCCACCACCAGCAAATATAACAACGGAAGCACTTATAAAAGCACCAGCCACAGTACTATTTGCACTAAAAGCGAGGGAAACATCTTAGACCACACCAGCAAAAGCAACACTGACACTAGTATCATTTGTAGCAGCAGCAGCAACATACAAACTGAAAAGTGTATAGCACCCCTTACCCATAGCCTGTTCCCACAGCCTGGAAGTCTCATGGATCCATCCCTTGGAAAGGGCAAGGTATTACCTGAGCAACCAGTGACTTTGAAGCAAAGCTTTATCCATAACTCATTCTCAGAACAAAAGCAGTTTCTTGCACCCCAAGGTCAACCATACCACATACGTACTTTGACAGACTCCCAGTCTGCTGTGGGGGGATCGTTTAGTAACTTGCCCCAGAGCTCCCTTCAATCTAACCCTGCAGCAAGTTCATGTCTTCAGGAGGAAACGAGTCAACACTCCTCTCCATCCCTTTCTGCTCCTCAAGAGCAACATTCTCCAAAAACCCTGCTGGGAGCACCTCAGGTCCAGTCCACACGCTCTACTGCCATCCACTACAAGGAACATGACCCCAAGCACTTACTTGCCTTAGACAAAGACTCTAAGCAATCAAATTTTGATAAAGAAAGGTTGCACAGAAACATAATGCAAAAAGAAAATGAAGGAAACATTTCTGAACACCACAGCGGAATTACAAATACATTTTACAAGGCTGACAGGAACGAGCATAGCAACCTAATTAACACACTAGATACTTTCACAAACAATAACACTAACAAGGCTAAACAAGACATGCCACTTTTACAACAATATATACAGAAAGTGGACCAATGGGAAAGCAACAGTGACTATCATGAAGAGTCGAATGTGAGCCCTATGAAGATAAACGTAATAGCGTTGAACAAAGAAGAGAGTTTGTACAAGACAAACAGCAAGCAGCAAATCAGTAAGTCATTGGAGAACTTGGTCAATGATGGTGGTCCTAGCCATAAAAACAAATCTTCAGAATGGCTCGAAAGCTACCAGCATGTACCGGTGGAGGCTGAGGAGCGTATATCTGATATAGGTAACACTGAACCACATCAACCAGATAACCTTGTGGGGCTTGAAACAGAGCAAGTAAAACATGACCTACACCCGGAGCGGAAAAGTATTTTTCAGAGTCTAGACTCTGAAACTCCTACACTGCCGATAAAGAACAAATCAAAAGAGGCTACAGTGGATTTAGACAAATCAACTACAGGAGAACAAGACTACTGGGAGATAAAAGATGAGGAGCATCAGCAACCAATGGGCAACCAGAGTTTGAGGGGGCATCAAGCGCAAGACAGTCAATCAAGGTAATGGCTGCAGACCATTGATGGACCATTGATCAGTTAATTTGAGAAAAATAAAAAAGCTAATTTTGAGTGTCTTCCCAAGAGACACATTGTAGTTTTTCTAGCAACTGACTTGTTGAGACTGACTGAGTCTTCAACTGCTGTCTACTACTCTTGGATTGTCACATCACATAACAGTGTTTAAGGTAATCAAAGTAGCGCAAATTTTAAAATTAGTTTAATTGGGAAACGTGAATTTAATTATGTGCATATTAACAACATTTGGCTTTTGATCAACTTATTTTTGATACAGTATTTTGAATTAGTCACTAGCACACGCACATGATTATGTGCTTTAAAAAGCTATTTTTGGGGTAAGTGAAGGCAGAGCAAATGAATTATAGATTTACTCAAAGTGTGTCTTAACGTGAATAAATGATGAAAATTGTGTGTAGCAAAGTGCTAGACTCTCGGATCTCTTGTGAAGTTCATGGTGTGATGCTGTTTGTTGTGTTTGGTCTGGTCTTACACATCTTTTTCTCCACTACAGGGACTGTCTGAGAGGAGAGCTTCTGAAAGTTTAAGGACTTCACTCTGCAAGACGAAGAGGCAGAGGATCCCGTACTCATTCTGAACATTACGTTTCTTGTTTTCTTTAAATATGACAGCTTATGAGATTGTAACATTTGTGATGGTCAGTGGACTTGAGTTTTCGGAAAACGGCCCAATCCAGAGAGTAGCCGCTACAAATGTAGGTCTGATGTGATTTAGGTAAATTCTGTGTAGGAAACTATGATGTATATGCTTGAAACTGCACTATCGAGGGTGTACTGGACATTAGGAATGTCAGTTAGATATTGTGATACTTTGTAACATGTCAGATAATCAGCACTTCTGCAATGCCTTGGGTTTTACATTATTTGTTGGGATATTCCAACCAGTTTTCCCTTCTTCATGTCCAGATCAAATAAGTTCTCCATGGTTTATTTTTTCACACAACATTGAGCAGTTAGCGACAAATCATGCACTATAACTCGCTTTAGTGGTGTCTGTCTGCACACACAACAAATTGGCCAGACATTGCCTTAAACATCACCTTTCTATTTCTATGACTGGCTGCACAAACAAGCAACTGTGTTGATGTGTGTATAAATTGGGGATTTGAAATCCCAACAGAACTGCTGCTATATCTTCGGAGGTGTTTTTTTTTTTATAAGCATTAACAAGACTATTATATGTGAAAAGCTTAAAAAAAAAAAAAGAAATGTTAATTTATGGTGGAGAAAGTTTAAAACGGTGTGCTTACAGTCTGAGGGGTATTAAAGTTCTCTCAGACAGTCAGATCAAGTGCTCTGCTAACTGGATATTCCCTGTGTTTGAGTTGGGCTGCGATATATAAATATATATAGTATATATATATATATATATATACACACACACACACATTATGCATAATTTATATGCTGCTAAGTTCAGACCATCCAAAGTGAAAAACAGGTGCTTTTCATCTATTATTTGCATTTGTATCCAATGTGGTTTCTCTTTAAAAAGTTAACAAAAGATACCATCTGGACATACAGTATTACCGTCCCATCAGTTCCCATTGTGCAGGTCTGTCTAAAAGAACACAGTGCACTGGAGTGTTATCCTTTCTACACATTACAAATCTTTTGGTAATAAATGGAGAATGTCAAATTTAAGAACTAGCGTCTTGAATGCATTTCATGCCATTGAAAGATATTCACAATGACTTGGCAAAGATCAATTCTAAAGAAACATCCAACATAGTGAAACAGATGCACATTTGCTTTGATTTATTTTAATTGCAGATTTTTTCGGCTAAAATGAAGCACATGCAAATGGTCAACACACTGTCACTTAAAGAGGAAGCAGAAGAAAACCATCTCGAGGGAATAAATGATTAGAATACTTTCCTGTGCACAAGAGTCACAGAGAGGTCCCGGGTGCACTTTTCAAAAGGAATGAAATCTTGCCCAAGACTACAGCTTGGCTAATACATCATACAGGCCATTCTTCCAAGACAAACAGGCAGGGTCTTTTTACGCTCCCCCTCCCGAGTTCTTCCTGAGGCCTGTTCTCAAAGTAAGACTTGGTGCAAAAAAAAAAAAAGTAAGACTTGGTGCTCATTTCACACGGTTCTGGGAACACAGGAAGTTCTTTTACCCATTATTCTAAGTAGAACACATCTTAAAGCATCATGTTTTTGCAAAAGCTTGCCCGTTATGGCACGTGGAAGATGAAATGCGATATTTGGATCTTAGACGTGAGATTTTAAAAATTCAAACCAAATGAGAGCTCGATTAAAAACACAATGTACAGGATAAGTTGTAAGGTTTTATTTTTAAATAACCTACAATTGATCAAAAGAAAAAAACGAAAAAAAAACAAACATCAGAGGTTATGGCATGAGCTTGATAAATTGGAAAAGGTTACGTGGCTGTCACTAACATTTTTTTCCAGACTGGAGTGGAAAAACAAAATGAAGATTGTTAAAATTCATGTTAAAACAAGCCTATCCTTAAATCTAGATTTAAACAAAAAAACACTTGTTTTTTTTGTTTTTGGCAATGTTGATTTCCCTCACATACCCTTCAGAAATAAAAACCATTTCGCCATACCCTGAAATAATACATCCTAATAATGATATTTTCAAGTAACAGATACAGGAGTTTCTTTTTTTTTTATTTTATGGAAACAGTCATTACACATTATGTTAAATCCAGATGGAGACTCAAAGCCATAAAGACACAATCTGTAGGATACTGGTTGGTTCACATTTACACAGGAAACAAAACCCTGATGTATATGCTGTAACAAAAAAGAAATTCACATTCTGCCTGTTTAAGGAAATACAGTTGAAGCTGTTGTCCCCTGCAGCTCATCCAAGCATCCTACTTTGTGGTCTGGATATAGTTTACACAAGAACTCCAGTTTAAAAGTGAACAGTTCATGTAACACTCACTCAAACACACAGCTTTTCATGGTCACATTTCCCATAAAATATCCCATCTGGGCCCGTATTCACAAAACATTTTAAGGCTAAAAGTAGCTCATAACTTGCCGATTTAGGAGAAAATCCTAAAAATAATGGGCGTGTCAGTCCTAAATTTAGGACTCCTTACATTTTTGCTCTAATAGTATTTCACAAATCGTTTTAGCGCTAAAACTAGCTCCTAAATCTGTGAAACGTTAGGAGTAGTGAAGAGGACTTCTAAGTCACTAAGGCCAAGTCATTGACGATAATGAGCTTTTAAAAAGCTATTGCCTTAATCACGAGGGTATTATGACTGTTGTTTTCATTAACAAGTTGGGCAACAAGTAACAGCTGTTCTTGCGTCCAGTTTGGTTTTTCTTTTACACGCCTTAATAACTAACCGATTTAGGAGAAAATCCTAAAAATAATGGGCGTGTCAGTCCTAAATTTAGGACTCCTTACATTTTTGCTCTAATAGTATTTCACAAATCGTTTTAGCGCTAAAACTAGCTCCTAAATCTGTGAAACGTTAGGAGTAGTGAAGAGGACTTCTAAGTCACTAAGGCCAAGTCATTGACGATAATGAGCTTTTAAAAAGCTATTGCCTTAATCACGAGGGTATTATGACTGTTGTTTTCATTAACAAGTTGGGCAACAAGTAACAGCTGTTCTTGCGTCCAGTTTGGTTTTTCTTTTACACGCCTTACTATCAGCCATGATTATTCTACTCTGTTAATTAAAAGGCTGTTTATATGCATATCCGCTATTTGTTTACGAGGAGCACACGTTAGAGGCTGACAATTAACTGAACATATACTTGTTTAATTAATGACACTTAGCCTGCATTTTAAAATCTTTATTTGAATGTGCTTTTTCTTCTTTTTAAACCTTAATCTGAATATGGCAACATATCGCGCTCTACAAAATTTGCCAATCACTGTGTGCAGTTAGTAAGCATGCTGACATCATCCATAGCAACGAGCTCAACCCCGTCCCCAAATACGGGCCCTGGTGTACACATTTCTTCTCCTAAAAAAGGCGTATGGGTGTACTTAAGCAATTCTTTGATTTTTTTTATTTTTTTTTTTATCTTCTATTAAAATATAGAATTCATTATTAATACAGGAGGGCTAAAAATACAGCAAAACTAAAAACGAAACGATCCACAAAGCAAGTTGTAGTTGAATACAGTAGCTATAGGACCATGTAAGTTCATAGTTTTCAGACATCCTTGGGCCCCCCTTTTGTCCAGAGATGGTAGGGGAGTGAGACAGTAAAAGTGTTCAAAAGGTCAAGCCACTGATTCTCCAGTTCCTGGCTTAAAGACCATGCAACCTTGCGCACAGGCCGTCCATACTTCATTCTTAAATGATCGACCCAATAAAACCTACAAGATTACAGGTCAGCCTAAAAAATAAAAATCAGTCACCCAAATCATGACATTCAGGCCTCCTCGACACTATGCTTGCTTCGCATCTTTTCCCTTGCCAGGTTCACAACCTGCTGGAAGTATCTATTAAAAAAAAAAAGGATGGGGTGGAGGGACAAGTAAAATTGCAAAGATGATTTAAAATTGGAAGTCTTTCTCAGCCATGTCAATAGCCCAGGCAAATTTCTCACGCTGAGTTTTGTTGTAGATCTTCTCTATTGGGATGCCAAACTTCTTGCACCTGGAGGAGGAGAGAACAAAAAGGAATAAGACACCAAAGCAGACAAGGGGCATCTTATTGCGCCACAAATGAAAACATTCTCACCAGGCTATTGAGATACGTGGGTCCAGGTAGTTGAGCTTGGAGGTACCCAGGGCAATCTGCTTGTTCTCCTCTCTGTCGGTGGCCTGTACCTCCAGCTTCATCAGCTGCTCCTCGATCCTCTGCACAGCTTTCTTCTTGGACTCCACGGCCCTGGGTTGCCAAAACAATCAACATTAAAGCAGCATACAATCACACACGAATGCACAATGAGCATCTAAGGGGCCAAATCCAGTTGGACTCCCCTTCAAGCAAATATTTTGACACTCACTTCTTGGATTTCTCATCTCTGCGTACTTTGGCGTCAGCCTTGGCACTTTTCAGTTCTCTTTTAGCATCAGCAAGCTGTTCCTTCTTTGCGTCAATCTGGTTTTAATGAACAAGTGAATGCAGGAAAGGCAAACATTTAGATGGTCCGACAGATCCTGCACTAACAAAAAATACCAGCATAAAGACAACGAGGACAAGGTCACAAACGTCTCATACCTTTGTCTGAAGATTTTGCATGGACTTCTCGAATGTCTTGGGTGGTGCCCTCTGGTGGTTACACAGAATGGCTACTGCTCTGTTAGCACGATTGTAGGAAAGGATCTTCGCAGGAACATTGTCTTCAGCTGAGCAAATACACTTAAGGTCACATATTGTACATAACATAACATGTAAGAATCCTCTTTACATACAGTGAACGGTACTTACAGTTTGTGATTTCATTCAGCTGCTGCTGTAGTGTGATGGAGGCATTGTAAGTACGGAACACTTTAGCCGTAAGGCCATCCATCAGCTCCTGAAGATGCTTGTTCAAAATGGAGGTCTGCGAGAAAGGGAAGTCATTTTACATTTGTGTTATATACATCGGTCTTAATTTGATGCATTCAGCATAAGTTTTTTTCTGTCAGGACCACTATCGTCAAAGATGATTGACAATTAGCATACAGTTTGGATTGGCGGTATGGTTCTGGGCAAGAACTCCCTGCGCCTCCATGCAGCCTAGCATGGATGAGAGCAGGGAGAGCAGCAATAACCCCCCCCCCAGGGTAAACAGAACAGAACTAACATAAATGTATTGCAGATATTGTTAAGTTCAATCATTTTATGTACACATTTTAGAATTAGTCTGATTCAAAGGAGAATCAGAAGGCTGAATCCCGACTGACAAGAGGAGGAGCTGGGGATGGAGGAGGGTAATTAGCTATTGAGCAATGCGAAAACTGCTGATAATACTGAGGGACCTTATATATGAATGCTTAGATAGGTGTCGTATTCCCATAGGTAGATGGAGATCAGCTGAGAGTCAGCTGATGCGAGCTTGACTAACGTGACCTGCCAGAACTAACGCTACGCTTGATTTCTTCTTAGTAGACTGGTGAAAGCGCCGGCTTACATTGAGACGGTCAAAGAGGTCATCCTCCGGCTCCTTGTCCTCCATGAATAGCTGAAGATTTTTGAAAACCTGTAACATTTTAAATAGGATTTTACACAAAAGGCAGAACCAACACAAGACTGTGCTAATCAATAGCGCTCAGATGAGGAGTTTTCATTTGCACAAGGCACAGTAATTTGAACACTACATTTCATTAATACAGTGCCTTTCACAAACCCAAGGACACTGGCAACGTACAACAAAAGACCATAACCAAAAAATAAATAAAACTAGAAGCAAATGAGCTTGAGTTTTGAAAATATGGGGACACGAAACTTCACATAGCATCTACTACCCATGTAGGACAATCAAAACTTAGTAACGCTTAATAACTTGGCACGGGTCCTGAGAGAGCATGCAACAGCATAACAATGGATCACTTCAATTGC